TGCTATTGTTTGTGTCTGATTTGGGCAGCAAAGGGATTTAGCAGCAGATGATGAGAATCATGCAATTGGGATATTTTCTCTTTTTAGAAAAAGGACTGGATACAAAATGTTAATCTGATTCTCTGACATTTTTGTAGCTCACACTGCTTAAACTGACTTCAAATGGAGTTACATTGATCAAATAGACCAGAGTCACCATTTGTTGGCCAGAGAGCAGGAGAAAGATTTTCTTAAAAGATCTAATCTGTGACTCCAAATTGCTGCCACATAAATAATGTCAAAGGAAAAAGCTTTCCTGCTGGCATAGCTATCCACATGAATTCTTGGACAACCCAGAATGCGCAGACCCCCCCACAAGGAAGCCATGGGGAGAACTCATTAAAGCAAGGAATGAAACGTGTCATTATCAGTAGTTCCATTAAATTCTTCATAAGAAATAGAGACATAATGAACATTTTAGGAACAAATCTGGAATGAGAGACAGATGGAATTAAATGTACTTGTATGATAATATTTATCTTCTGTCTGATTTCTAGAGAAATGTATTTCTAGCTTCTGATTTGAAACAGCTCTCAACATTTTATTCTACATTCCTCTACCAAATATCTACTCAGTGCCTTCTATGTCTCAGGTATTGTAGTAGGCTCTAGAAGGACACCAGTGAGCCAGTTGTATTTCCAACCAAATATCTGGTACTTCCTAAAAGACTGGGAAAAGTCTTAGTTGCTAGAATGTGCCCTTAAGACAGAGGCATTTCTTTCACATGAATTTATGAGTCTATGTGTGCTTTCATGTATTCATTAATACATGAAATATTATTTTCAGCTTATGGTTACTGATACTGCTTAAACAAGAAGTGGATTTTAAAAATCAAACCCTTTTCTTAGATTTTCCTGTAGATTGTATTCCATTCTTTATTTTTTTTTTTTAGATTTATTTTTATTTATTTATTTATACAAGCACTGGGTACTGTCAGAAGCACAGGAGGGTGAGAGAATTCACCAGAGCCAGAGCGTGGAGCAGAGCAGTCAGAAGGACCGAAGTACACTGCTGAGGGGAGCAGCGGGCGGCAGGAGAGGTCTGTGCGCCATGTGCGAGCCTCCTCTGGTGGCCGGGGAGCAGCTGGGGATTGAACCAGCACCACAGAGGCTGCGGGCAGCTTCGCAACCCAGCGTTCAACCGCTGTGCCACTGGGAGGCCCTTATTCAATTCTTTAAATTGATATTACTTGTTTTCTTTGTTCTCAAGTTATTTTTGGGAGGGGGGAACAGATAATTACATTCTTTCTTTCTGCTAACCTATTTCAGCCAGCAATACTGTAAAAAAAATCTTATTTTCTCATTTTTTTCCTGATACTCCTGGGTTCAAAATTTAAACAAGGTCCAGATCAAATATTCACCAAAAGTTGATTCAAATGAAAGTTGAAAATTTGCTAGGTGAATCAGTGGAGCTAATGGCTTCAGTAATACCTATATAAAAATTTAGATTTACAGTTGCAATTATCCTTCTCATCTTCCTTATGTCCTCTACCCTCTTAACTATAAATAGACCACTATGACTGTATATGAAGGAAAGTACTGGAAATAAATACTGTCAAATTATCACTTGTCTAACTTCATCTACTATCCTTCCGTCACAGACACATGCAATGCTGGCCTTCAGATGTTTTCCTTTAAAAATACAGTAACATATTTCAGATATAATGGAGTATATATTGTCAGATGAAATAAATGTGTTTCAGAAACACATTTATGAAGTCTGTACTAATTAAGTTTTTAAAAGCCTTTATATTTACATTTTCATTTTCCTTCAAGTATTTTTTATATTTTATTCAAAGAATAGTACTGTTGTTCTTTCTTATTTTACACATGATGTAACATTCTGACTAGAAAGTTTTTAGATGGCTTTCATTTACTTTAAGAGAAGTACACCAATACTTTCAGCTGCCTTTATTTCTTAGCCCAAAACATGTTTTTTAATTTTTTTTAATAAATGGACAACTGTTCTCCAGAGATTGCCCCACCAAATACTACTCTCTGCATGCTATTTTAGACTCACAAGTATAAGGAGGCAAAACAATGAGTGTTTAGGGTTTAATTTTTAATAAAAAAGTTCCCCAAACTCAATTAAATTCTTACTGAATCTTGAGTGAAAATGAAATATACTAAACCCCAAGAAGCAGCCACAAATGTCTAATACATTGGATAACAAGGATTAGAGAGCTGGTTTGGGATCACATGCCTTCGTTTCGTTATTAGACGTTAAGAATGGGATTTTAGGAAGCTCTCCTAGATGCATTAGTCCCAGTAAAGTACTTACCAGATAATTCATTATAGTCTTTTTTTTGGGGGGGAGGGGTTGTAATTTAGAAGAATGCAATTAAAACTGAACTTGATAATTAATTCTGAACTGGTGAGAACTAGTTCCAGAGATTATGACTATAATGCTGTGTAGTCATTGATATAAATATTCATGAGGTTTCATTGTTTTATGGTTTTCTCAAGCACACAGCTTATCTGAAGAAGTAAAATTAAAGTACAATTATTTAACATTACAATGCAAATAAGAATCAATGAAGAAGGAATTGTTAATTCACTAAGGAATGTGAATACATGTAGGCACATGTAGAGACTATGTCATATATGTGCAAGTAAAATATCTGAACATACAAACTAGAAGATTGGGAAGAGAGGAGAAAAAGTGATATGGGTAAACAATTTTGGATCTTAATCTGGTCAACACTGGGTGAGTGAAATTCATTGAAATCGACTTAACCTACCACCAAAAATCAATCAACATATAAAACTAATCGTGTGCAGCAGAAGAGAGAATGAGAAAATGGTCTTTCTTATTCTATTTCCATCTTTTACTGAGCCATAATGCCATCATATCTGACCTTGAAGCAGATTCATCTATAACATGAAATTTTCAAGTAATTTGATAGAATAAACAGGTTATGATGAATGGATGAATGGATGGATGCATGGATGGAAACTACAAAGAGAGAAGTAGCCAGAAATCAGCCAGCTACGAAAATTGAAATAGGTGGGAGGAGGGGAAGTGGGAGAAGGGAGTACAATTTCAGATCATAGTCTTTGATGCAATTTAATTTAATTTAAAAAATTCAGTCTTAATGGGATTCTTATAATTGCTATTTGTTTATATCCTCAAACTTGATGAAGAAAGAATCAGCACAAACACTATATTCATTGAAAACTTTATACAAATTTGAGAAAGATTTAAGCCTTCTGTACTAGTATGCTCAGTTCGTTTATTGTTAAGCACCACAAAGTCAAATTCAGTATTATGTGATTAAGCTGCATCTGTCTCTGTGCAAGCACTCACCATATTTCTTTAAGTTCAGCAGGTGTTTTGCAAAGAACCTAAAGGATTTTGCACAAAATTAGTGTCTATAATAAAGCGATGCTGATGAAGAGACAGCTTTTTATATCACTGATATATTATAGTTTCTTTCTAATAAATGTCATTGCTAGATATTTCAAAACCTGAAACAGATTTGCTGACTGCACTGTTTTGAAGCATATTTGCTGTGCCTTATTGCTAAGATGTTCTTTTATAGACATACAGTTTAGAAATTTTATTTGACATTGTTGACTATTAAATTAGCAGCTTTTCAACTTTGCAAGACTTCTGTCACAAAGGATGCATCCCTTTTACATGAATATTTTCTGGCCCTATTCTAAGGTAATTTGAGATGCATTAATTGAAGCCCTAATTTGAGAAACAGGTAACAATAAAGTTGTTATTTATTCACAATAAATATTTATTAACAATAACAATTTTATTGTTATTTGTTATGCTTTTCCTCAGATTCTCCCTCTCTTTCTTTTACACACACACACACACACACACACACATGCTGTCACACTCACACACACATTTATGAAAAGTCAAACTGTAAATATATAGGGGTTTTCATTTCTAATTATTTGAATTTTATGATGTAAAGCTAAAAATGTTCTTCAATTGGAACATTAACTTGGGGAATCCCTTTGGCATCCAACTTTCAGCAAGGGGGTTGACATCCTTTGGTCATCTAGTTAAGTAAACTTATTCATTGATTCCAGCTCTGGGTAGTGAGGTACACATACCATGAGGTCAACCCCTTAGCTCTTTATCTGAATTTGCTATTTTCGGTGAACACCAAAAAGAATCATGTCTCAACTCTATCTAAAGGTAACAGTGCTAAACCAGGTGTCCTTAAACTGTGGACAAATAAATTACCTCAGCAAAGTTACTGACAGAGCCTAAATCCAGGCCCTAACCTGCTAGCATGGAGAGATACTAATTCTCTGTTCCCAACACAGCCCAAACCCATTGCTCACAATAAAGGATATGGCACAATTACCATACCCCCAATCAGTGTTATTTGAAATCTAATTCTGTGAGGGATCCTGATGAAAGAGAGCGAGAAAGGGAAATATTAGCCACAATGCCTACTGTGATGAGCTTAGTCCAGAAATCTATATTAATTCAATGCTATGACTGTGGACATACTCCTGTTTCAAGTGGGCATGGGGAGGGTTATAGAAAGTATAAATAGTTTCTGTTTTCAAAAACCTATAGTCTATTGCAGCATTATAATCACACATGCAAATAAAACACAAGTATATAGACTAAATGCTAACTGAAAAAGGATCAGTACAGGCAACACATTCCAATTGCAGAGAAAGAAAAAAAGTCAAATATATATATATATATATATATATATATATATATATATATATATATACTCAGAGTCTGTATACATGGAAAATAAGAAGAAATATAAGACACATTTTGGGCACAAACAATATTAAAAATGAAGTCAAGTGTCTTTCATTTAGGATGTACAAAGCTACAAAGAATGAAACTTATCATAACAATTAGAATAAACTGATTAAAGTAAAAAATCATAAAATTGCAAAAGCTTATCACAATATTGAGAAGATAAGGCTATCATGTGACCTGAGATTTAAAGTGTGATTGGACTCTTCCAGGAGATAGGGGGGTATGCATATCCTCTCACCTGTGACATCACACAAGGAGAAGAGACATTCTGCCAGCTATAACATGAGCAGGTAAAAATTGAAAAAAATGCTAAAGTCAAATGTAGGCTAGGATGTCAAGCTAAAATATGTGGGGCCTCCTGACTAAAGGGGCTTTGCGCTGATTCACAGGTGTTTTCCTGTCTTTTCTGGGTGCTTTCAGGAAAGATTATGGGTAGACTAGGAGACTAGAGAGAGTCTCTGTGACTATAGGCATAAAATCACTGGTCAACTAAGTTACATAGCGACAGACAAAATATACCCTATACTTTGGCAGACACTTATCTCTCATATGAAGCAAAAACCTAAAGGCACTGGAGTTGGCAAGGACTATGACTCACAAAGAACTGAAGGGTGAAAGGCAAACTCTCTACCTGAGGGGGTGGGGGGCACCTACCTCCATTCAAAAATAGTTTCTATATACTGATAATCTTCTGAACCTCTTCTGACACCAAAAAGAGTTCTCTTACTTCTGGGAGAAGGATAGGAAGCTATCTCTAAGGACTAATTGCAGGCACAAGGCAGATTTATGTTACCACGAAGAAGAAAGGAGAAAAAGTCTGCAGCTCTGAAAAAGTCTCATCCTGAGGTGGCACAGGACTACAATAAGATGAAGACTGAACCATAACAACAGAAAATCTCCCTTCTATGAGCTTGAATTAGCAAAAAAATACCAACAGCAGTTTACTTCCGGGGGATTTAGAAAACCATGCAAAATTTATTTGTTTTTTCCAGTGGCAGAGGCATATGAGGTTGTTTAAAAGCTAACAATAGAAAACTAACTCTGATAAAAACTCTCCAGAATTCAACACAATTGCTAAGCACTCATCCTATGAAATAGAAATTTAAATCTTTTTATCAATTGAAAGAAGTCATAGCAATAGCAACACCTAAATTGCACTCAACTACTGACTAGATTCATTCAGCTGCCCCTATTCACAGCAAAGCACCTCATTTCTCTTAGAAAGTACTTTTGATCTCAGTCAATACTACAATGATGACACATAAAACAGAAAATCAAGGGCAAAAATGACCATTCAATTAATTGTTAAGAGACAAAGCCACCAACAAAATCAGACTCAGAGATGACTAGATATTAGGACTATTAGAGGGACTTTGAAATAACGACTAAACTGTAATAATTTTTGTAAGGAAAACTAACAATGCATATGAAAAAAACAATAAATTTTATTATATTCTTTAGTTTGAATTTAATACAATCTGAAACTCAGAAGTGCATATGAGCATAAGAATGACCCAGGACAAATTTGCTTATACTGACTCAGAAATAATGGAGGTAAATCCCAATGCTACGAGTTTGAAAAATTCCTGTTTATTCTTTATTACTTTATAACCCATATGCCAAATAGCCCAATGGGAACAGTTGTGGACATCTCAACAAAAAACTACAGTAGGAGAAACCCATAGGGAGAGGGATATTTTTATCCAGTTGGCATGCTGGATAAAATAAGATATATTTAACTCATCACCAACTGTATATAACTTGAATTCTTATCTTTCACAATAGGTCCGCTACTATTTAATGTACTATTCTCAAAAACTGTTTTTACATTATATATGTATATGTATGTGTGTGTATACATACCCATACCCGCACACACATACCCGTGAGAGAAAAAGAAGTAGTTTTCTAAATCCTTTTAAGAGAGAACTGAAACTCCAGAAAATGTGTTAATTATCCATAAATCAAATCTGAATGTATAAAAACTTTTGGAGTATCCAGACATGATGGAATATCACTCAGCTCTAAAAAAAAGATGAAATTTTGACATCTGTGACAACATGGATGAAACCAAAAGGGATTATGCTAAGTGAAATAAGTCAGAGGAGAAAGAAAAATACCAGGTGGTGTCACTTACATGTAGAGAAACAAAACATTCTATATACTTATATGTAGAATGTAGAGAAAGGATCAGATAAAACTAAATCATTAACAAATTCCAGAAATATGACTGTAGAATTGAGGCTACCAAAGAGGGGTACAGGGAAAGCAAAGTGAAGAGGAGACACAATGAGTCGTGGAGAAGGACCTTGAGTGCCTTCGTGGTGGGTGTGGTGTGGAAACATACACCAAAGGGTGTGATCCTGTGTCTCAAAATCATATAAAATGTCTTAAACCAATGTTACCTCAAAAAATGTATGAAGTATGGCTAAAATAGTACCTACAGGAAAATTTATACCAGTAAATGTTTATATTAAATACAATTAAGTTCTCAAAACAATTTATTAAGTATCTGCCTTAGCAAATAAGAAATAAATTAAAAATTGAAGGAAAGTAAAATAGAGGAGGTAAATGATAATAACATGAAAAATTAGTTGTTACCAAAGAAAGAAAATGGGAGAAAGAATAAAATGAAATCTTTGTTTTCAAAAATTCATTTCAGGTATAAAAAAGAAAAAAAGCCACAGATGACCAATATCAAAGATAAGTGATACATTGTTAACAGAGATATTACAGACTTAAAACGAAATGCTGGTGACATTAAGTCAATACATTGACAACTTAGTTGAAACAGATTTGTTGAAATAAAGCTCAATCAAGAAAAATAAACTTATATTGCTGTTTACTTTAACAAGTGGGATTCACAATAAAACATCTAACTACAAAGAAAAATATAAGATCATATAACTTCACTTAGAAATTCTACAGAGCATTTAATGAAAAGAGTAAAAAAGATCTTACTTGTGTCATATGTAATGTTAAATGATGGGATGTTTTGTTATTAAGGTGAGGAACAAACCAAGAATGCAATTTCAATTCAAATTGTGGCAGTTCTACTCACTGCGATAATGCAAGAAAAAAAAAATGAAAGGTCTATTGATTGGACAAAAAAAATCTTTATTTACAAACATAATTGCCTACATAGATAACCCTCAAGTAACTTTGCAAAGAGCTGCCAGATCTAATAAGCAATTTCAGCAATAATATAGTTGAGAAGATGTGTGGGTATGTTGAGAAGATGTGTGTGTATGTGTGAATATCTATATAAACTGTCAATGAACAATTGGAAGTGGAAATTTGAAAAAAAAAACATAATTGCATCAAACAATGTCCTAGTTAAGGATGAATTTAACAAAATAAGTGTTTTTATTTGTATGACAAAGTATAAAACATTGATGAGATAAGAAATACTTAAAGTACATTCACAGTTTGACAGATTCAAATGGCCAAAATATAAAATCTTCCAAAACTGACCTACATATTTGATATAATACCTACATATTTGATATAATACTGAGTTACTCAGTCAGATTTTATTGGAGAAATTCTCAAATTTATATTAAAATTTTTATTGGAAACAAAGAAATTAGAAGCTGAAATAAATTAAAAAATCAGTTCTAATATTATCATAAAACAAAACAAACTGAATTTTTTTTTCCTGAATTGTTGCTTGATATTTTGGCTGATATGCCAAAAATAAGATGTAAACATTGTGGGTTGCTGAATTACAATCCAGTTTTAACTCATACTCTTGTCAGTAAGCTAAAACATTGATTTTTAAGAATATGTATTTAAAAATTGGAATAAGACTATTTTAGGGGATTTATATAACCTTTATTTACAACCCCCCCCCCATCTCACTGAGGTCTCACTGTCAGTAGGATCAGAATCAGCCCCTCTTGTCCTTTCTCATATAACAGGTCCTATAACTGTGTTGTTTTATTTAGCTACTGTGCATGTAATTGTCAACACCCTTCACCATCCTGATGATTCAGACACATAACTATGGGCAATTCTCAGCCATGGCCAACACTGTCCATTACAAAGTCAAATTTGGGAAGGCACATGTTAATCACAAAATAAATGCTAGTTTTGCCAACTTATGTCATTAAAAACAGGTTTGTAAGAACATGCTAAGGGTAGTACTAGAAAAGAACACAATCAGGGTGAATTTACTGATACAAATATAATCATCCAAGGTTCTGAGGAATTTGTAAGCTTGATTAGCTACAAGAGGTCACCCCCCTCCACATAATTTTTTTCTCTCAGAAAGTTGATTCAAATTTAGTATTCTCAAATAAATTCAGTTAATATGCTACACATGTATTTCTTGGATTAGTACAGATTCTCCAGGAATTCAAATAATTGTTTCCCAGTCAATGTCCCCCAAATTACCCATGCCCTTGTGGGCACATGTCAGCCATCAGAGTCATTCAAAAGCAGGGCCACTGAGGTATCTTAGAGCTTTCCACAAGTCTAAGGCATTTCTGACAAGGAATCACAAGAAAGGGTTTGGGCAGGTGCCAGAGAGCTGAGATGGGAGAAAAGAGAAAAAATACAATAGTTCACAATGAGGTGAAGATGATAGCCACCATTGCCTCTGCCAAGGACCAAGTACAGGTTCCCTACATGTCTCTCATCCATGTAACTCTTTTCCAAGCCTCTCTTCCAAGTGTCTCTCCTCCACTTGTCTCCTCCCATGTCTCTCCTGCAAATCAAAGCCACACGAAAGAGAGTGCCCACCTACCTTGGATATTAGAGAGGTCTGCCTGGCCTATATCCATGGAATATGAATGGAAATTGATAACAAAGTAGAACTTTCCACTTGGTATTCGATTTACTAGAATTATTTTTTGTTATAAAATGGTAGACTAAACATGAATGAGGTCTATACATATACTAAAGGCATTTTGTCAGACATCTTGCTGCCCTACATAAATTCAGTGTTGGACAGTGAGAATAATTATATTTTAAGAGTTTTAGGAAAAGCTGCAAGTGAGGTACTCTGTGTTTTTTGAGAGACTTTGCAGGGGAAAACATAAGAAGATTGAAATGCTCAAATGACAGGTTGTTTTGCAAAGGGAGTTGAGGGTTGTTTCTTCAATTCTCACAACTATTACATGCAACTTCATTTTTTTACAAAGGAATAGTAGAGAGAAGGTTTAAGAGTACGTAGCATTAGAAAAATCACGACCATAGGACCAGACATGGCTTCACCAAGGGAAAAAAATAAGCAAGTCATCACCCATTGTATGGGGAAGTCCATAACATATCTGTATTTGGGAAGTTCCCTTTTGTTAATAATAAGAAAAAAAAAATAGAAAGTTACATAACCAATTACTTGTTTAAGCAGTGGTACTAAAATCATAAATAAATGTTGGTAAATAGATTAATGGCAAACATTGAAGAGAGATTTTAGATATTAGCTGAAAAAAATGAGTCATGGTATATTTACTTTGACTACACAGAATACTAAAAGCTCTTTATTGAAGTCGGGGAGCTGTAATCCATCTAAAACTTTAGGAACAAGTATAATGCTAATTTATCCCTATTCTAAAGTCATCAAACAATTAGGATCACTCAAATTTGAACTCTTCATAGGAGTTCAGTGGAGGGGAGTCAGTGATCAATTCCTAGAATATCTGAGAAAGTTATGGATCTCTTATTAGATAAATAGAATATTCTGGATGTGTGCAGTAGCACACACATGTGTGATAGAAAATTTAAAATATGCAGTGTCTGTTATGTTGAAAAGAGATAAAACTTATGCCAACATAAGTCCACGTGAAAAATGGGTGCTAAGAGAGGAAGAATCAAGGAGATAGGTAGGATAAAGCTCTATAAAAGGACACCTTTTATGATAAGATATATCCAAGGAGGAAAAGTAGAGTCTTCAGAAGGACGGAGTCATCTTACTGGAGGGAAGCAAAATTAGGGATTTTTAAGTATCAGATATATGATTGACAGGAATGACCTTTTGGCATTCTTGCCAAACCTGAAATTTGATGACCTTATAACTATGAAATTATCATAAAACTTTACCTCCACTTTTTATTCATTCTGCCCTCTGTTCCCCTTGTCACTGTTTCCTTCCTATTTTGTTTTCAGCCAGCCTTCTGAGAAATATGTTTCAATTCATTTATTCTATTCAAACTTAAGATTCGACCTCTCAGTCAGTAGTTACCAGCCTATAGCAGCAGTAAATTATTTCATTTCTGATTTGATTTTATCTATTTCCCATGATAGGCCCAAGAAACATTGTTTTCATAGACTCACTACCTTATTTAAAAATACATGCATTTATTACGTGTCTTGGGTGAACAAAGCATTGTAGGAATTGGAGGGACTTGGGGAAATAATATTGTGCCTCCTGCCTCCCATCCAGATGCCTATGTCAGATTGTTCAGATGATGAGCTTCTGATTATTTCCTGAAGAGAACTCTGCAATTTCTCTAAATATTATTCTCAAATATAACCTATGATGCTTTATAAATTCACTTAAATTTGAAACTCTGAATGATATGTAGGTCATTTAATACAACTCATTTTTCATAAGAAAATCAAAGTCCAAGTGCCTGGCATCTTCAGAATGGATCTCTCAAAACTTTTTTATTATGTTAAATGAAGTTCTACATAATGGAACTAGAATTAAGGCAAAGGAAGTACCTTAACATCCAATTCTCTCTAGAATAACTCTAGAAAATATGGATAATATGAATCAGAATACTAGTATCAACATGCAGTGTTGCTTGCTTCTAACTGCAGGAAGAATGCTTCAAATCTGGTTCCTGAAAGCTTGTCTGCTAATTAGTCTCATGGACTCACTAGGCAAGCTTACACAAAGCACAAATTCCCATTTTCCTTTGGAGGAATGTGGTTTAGTTAGATGTGTGTTTGAACCTTGGAATCTCTCTCACCCTTATTCACCACTATGATGGAGACATTCAAAATATACTGCCTTTTTACAAGTCTTACAATTTTAATATTTTGATGGTTTAGAATTTTTAATTTTACATTATTCTTGAGCTGCTTCAGTAATCCTCACTTAAAACTTGTATTACTTTGTCTTTCATGTTGCCAGTATTCCGCTAGATTTATTATGTTGTTCAGAATTCTGGAATCTCCCTCTGTATATGTCTATGTCTACTTCCTCTGCTTATAAAGACTCCATTTATATGGGAAGTGTGTTAGGATTAAGAGCCAACCCCAGTGATCTCATTTTAATTTAATTAACTCTTCAAAGATACTGTCTCCAAATTCAGATACATTTTGAAGTATAGAGTTAAGACTTCAACATAAGAATTTTGTGGCAACACAATTTAGCCCATAACATTTACAAATCTCTCAGGATTTGGAAAGTACTTTTTTTAATGTCTGGAGAAGCTTATGGTTTGCTCCAATCAACAAATACTCAATGGATACATTCCAGAAAATAAGTATGATCTATTCATTTATAAACTTGGTCTCCAAAGGACAGCCATCCACTATGCAAGCCCATACTGTGATATTTACTTTAATGTAATAGAACACATTCTTTAAAATATATTCCCAGTAAGTCCATGAGCCTACTTCATAAAAGAACATGTCTTTTAGTGCCCATATAACCCTCAGTGTGTATAGACATTCTGGAATAAAATTTTCAAAAGATGATTCAATAATTTACACTAATCACTAATTCACATG